CATATGCCTGAAACGGAACGCAGCCTTTGATATGTATTAAACTTTATAACTTATAATTAATAAGAGAACAGGGCTACGAGCCATAGATTCGTTAAAATCTTTAATTTTTTTATACTAATATATTGCGAAGATTATCACGTAATGTTGGCGAAGCCGGGACGAAACGCTAACATTACGTGATAATCTTCACAATATATTAGTATAAAAAAAATTAAAGATTTCAACGAATCTATGGCTCGTAGCCATGTTCTCTTATTAGTTTTAAATTCATTAAGCCTTATTACAATTTAAATTTTATAACTTATTCACACATTGATGAAGTAGCTAGCTTAATGCCCAATTTCTTCAACTCTAGATAACTTTTATCTAGGAGATATTTCCTAAGGTTTGTTCGCGTCGCACGCTCCAACATGCTCCAATATGCTCCTGTCATACTCATAGCTCTTACTCCCTTCAACGCGCTCGTTGAAGTGAGCAAGAGCTATGGTAGGAGCATATTGGAGCATGTTGGAGCGTGCGACGCGAACAAACCTTTCGAATACAATGGAGATATCTCTTGGATAAAGTTATCCGCAATTTATCTGGAAGTGAAGAAATTGGCCATAATTGTTGTAAAAAAAAATACTAATATATATATTCATAAACACATACCTGCTAATACAAGTACTTGACAAGTCTCCACTTTCTTGTTGTGACAAATAAGAAATAATTTTTCTTTTGCTTTATTCGTCGAATCATATTTTTCCACCTCGAAGTTAATAATATCAGTACATCGTACTTTTACATATTTTTTTGACGTGGTCAAGTGCACATACGCGAAATTCTCCATCGTCATCTGTCGTAATTTATAATAATCTAAACAGCAAACAATGCTTTTCTTTTTTTTTCGATTTTGAAAATAATAACGGAAAACAAACCGCGATTCACTATATGGATCCGTTTTCACTGAACGCGTCACGCGTCACGACGTGACGCGAAAGAGAGAAGTTTATATATATATATACACAACCCCTCTCTTTCTCTCTTTCGCATCGCGTCCTAACGCGATGGACGACGCGATGCGTGACTTGTTCAGACTTGCTCAGTGGAAAAGTACCCTGTTGCTGTCTGTTTGGCACGATGCAGATTCGGCCTCGAGCAACCGTGAAACTGCAAGTGGTAATGATGAGTGGGGGTAGGCTGGCGACGCCGACACTCGCAATGCTCGCAGTTCGCACTTCGGCTAACATCGGGCGATATAGAAGAGTATAGACGAGCGATTTGAAGGCAAGTGATTTTTCTCCTCCACTCTTTATCCTTTTCGTCTTCACTCATAAAAGTGAAAGTGGGTGAAAAATTGTTTTAATTGAACAAATGTGTGCGAACAACAATGAATAGCAAGCGACGATATAAGCAGTATTTGTTACCGGATTCAAATGTGGAAATACCACGGACCACACTGTACAGGCATAAGAAAAAAAGGATGAAAATACAAATGCAAGAAAATTCTGAGGTAATTGAAAGTTACATATTATTTGGATAAATATAATCTTACAATGCATTTTGACGAGAAAATCAGAAAATTCTAAGAGTGGCTTAAGAATGTGCATATTTATTATGGATGAATGTAAAGATATTATTAATCTTAATTTTCTGATCATATAATATTATTAATGTCGAAAATTTTTCGAGAGAAATTTATCAATTTATTACTTGAGTAAATCCTATTGATTTTCTAATAAATTATTTTCGCCGATTTATGTACAATATTTTATATATTTTCTTTTTATGAAAGGATTCTTCAGTTAGTGACAACGAGCGCGCGCGCGGCGAGAATCATGATTACGTTCCTAAATCATCGAGTGCAATGCACCGCAACTCTTCCACTACAATTCATGAAAATTTAAGTAATATCATGGAAGTTGGAGAAGAAAATGTTAGTCGTGATGAAACACCCTTCACAGAAGAGGAGTACTCTGAAGTAAGTTATTAACTTTTTCTGCTCATTAATTACGTAAGAACAAGTTGCACGGTTTTTCGACTCCCTTTTTCCCATGTAAGAGTAAGTAGGAATTCTAATTCCTCGGCTCCCTTTACGTAAAACCATATAGAGATTTCATGGACTCGTATTCTCCCCCTTCAGTACTTAATTAATAAACAGCCCCTTACTAGAAAAATTTAAATAATTTTTTTGTAATAAATGATATAATTGCATTCCATGTTTATATGCAGGTAATTACCAAATCTAGCGATGATTCAAGTACCTCTGAGAGTGATAATGATGCACCTCATGAAAAAATTCATAATAATTTGAACTACAATGAGCGCCATGTAAGTTGCTTGTTTCAATCTGAACTCGTTGAAGCATTGTCTCAAAAAAATGTTATTTTCTTATCAATATACTTATTGTGTAATGTAGCTAAATAACACTTATGTACATTGTCATTTATAATTTAGAACAAATTAATAAATTGAATAAGCATGCTGAAAAAATTGTCCAAAAAATATAAAAAATATATATGTTTTTATACGTTCATGTAGTAATAATTTTAAAAAAGTCTATACAATTACACAGTTTTGCATTGTTTTATCTTTCGTAATACATATGAGTGATTTTAACAAAAACATGATGTTCTTAAAACTTGAAAATATAAGAATTATAAATAAAATGTATAAAATAACAAATTAATTTTGGCATTATGAAGTTTTTATTATACGTCATGAAATGACTAATTCGTATGAGTTACAATCGTTTAAATGAAATCGTATAGCAATTTTAAACATTTCATACCCACAGAAGTGACATATTTATCCGATAGGAAAATTATAATGAAGGAAACACACACACACACACACGCACGCACGCACATACGCGCGCACACACACACACACACACACACACACACACACACACACACACACACACACACACACACACACACACACACACACAAAATATTTTTTTATAAATGAGAACAAGAGATTTTATTGCATAAAAGTTTTAAGGTACAAAAGGTAAAAACTATATAGTTCACAAGATATTTTTTACTTTGTATGGAAATATGTCACAATAAAGTGTAAAATATCTCGTGAACTATTTATTTTTTAAACAAATGGAAAATTAATAAAAAGGACGAATGAGAATAAATAATAATAACTGGTTATATTTATTTTTTCGAAAATTAATTTTACCATTATTTGTCCCCCTTCACTGTATGTACAATTTTGGTCTAAAACATTTTTTCGTTTATCCCGAATTTTTTCAAATATAAAGGTGATAACAGTATTAATTAAATACAATGTACTATATTCATGTTATGTAATGTAGTCCACAAAAATGCTCAAATCACTTAAGGTTGGTTTATACTGGCCCTAATCTATTAACTTATGCCGTAATCTGTAAAATTGACCAATCACAGTCGAATGAGAGGGAATAATCGATTATAATTGGTCAATTTTTACAGATTATGGCATAAGTTAACAGATTACGGCATAAGTTAACAGATTACGGCCAGTATAATCCAACCCTTATTGTCTGAAAGAATATAATTAATTTTTTTGAACTTGTGTATTGTAATCGTATAATGTTTATTTAGTTTTTAATATTTTCTTGCATAGAATTCTCGACAATCTCATGGTTTATCACACGACAAACAATGGATGGAATATGTATGTGAATGCCGTAAGACAACTTGCGGTGAAGCATTACTAATGTGTATGACGATAGGAATGCGACATAATTTGTCATGGGTCGCTATTATGGATATATTAAAAATGATTAATAATATATGCCATGTTTATGCCATTCCGAAGTCTTGTAACATAGAAACATCACGTTTTCGTAAAAAACCATATAGATAGAGTATGTACAGGCCAGTATTAATTAAATACAATGTAGTATATTCATGTTATGTAGTACAGTCTACAAAAAAACTCAATTTGCTTATTGTCTGAAAGAATATTATTAAATCTTCTGAACCTTTGTATTGTAATTGTACATACAATGTTTATTTAATAATAAGAGTGAAAAATCCTATTATCAGTCGAAACAGATTTTAGTGTGCTTATTAATAATTTTTTTTTATTCTTACAATTTCTAGTTCAAACTAACTGCGCATCGCATATTTGTGAAACACTAAATTAAATCTGGAATACGCAATGTCACGAATTAAATTGCTTAAATAATTTAATTCGTGACATCCCATAAAAGTATATTGCGTATTCCGGATTTAATTTAAGGCGCGTTCCATTTCTCGCATGATGCATCTATTGTCCTTGTTTAACATTTGATGAGCAACAAGGATAAACGATGCATTATGCGCATCATGCGAGAAACAGAACGCACCCTTAGTGTTTCATAAATATGCAGCATATACAGTTTGTTTGAACTGGAAATTGTAAGATTTACGAAAAGAAATTATTAATGACCCCTTTTACACCGTTAAATTTATTGGTACGCGTATCAAGTTGGTGTGGACTAAACATTTGATACGTTCCTGTTTACATCAATTTGTCTAAAAACAGGTTAAGTTAGGTTTTTGATCCGGATATAGTATATTTTTGATACGCATACCAACTTGGTCTGATATTCGTGATGGGGAGTGTCAGACTAAAATGATCCCCTAGCGTTTATACCGAGCGTATCAAGTGATTTGGTACGAATATGGCACTTAATACGCGTATCAAGTACTCGGTGTAAACTAGGCCAATAAGCACTAGCAAGATAAGATCCGATTCGATAATAGTATTTTTCACTCTTATTTGATTTATTCACATCCTAACTATAGATTTTAATGTTTTGATTTTGTTTTTAACATTTTCTTGTATAGGATTCTCGACAACCTCATGGCTTACCACACGACAAACAATGGAGGGAATATGTATGTGAATGCCGTAAAACAACTTGCGGAGAAGCATTACTAATGTGTATGACGATAGGAATGCGACATAATTTGTCATGGGTCGCTATTATGGATATATTGAAAATGATCAATAATATATTCGATGTCCATGTTGTTCCGGATACCAAATATTATTTGCAGAAACATTTCCCAATTGGAATCGAAAACACTATAAAGTACCATGTGTTTTGTCCAACCTGTACAGAGTACATAGGTGAAAAAAATGATAATGATATACATGAATGCAACTGTGGATCGCAATTCAAATCAGCTGATATATTAAAATGGTTTATAGAATTAAGCTTTGAAGATCAGTTGCGTAATTTGTTACAAAATCGTAACATACAAGAGAGTCTCAATCATACATTTAATCGTGAAGAAAAAGATTCGGAAAATCTTCAAGATATTTACGATGGTCGAGGATATAAAAAACTTAAAGATGTATTAGGAACCAACAAGTGGAATATAACGTACACTTTTTCTACGGATGGATGCCAATCGGCCAATGCCAGTAACGTTTCAATTTGACCCATTTATGTAATGATAAACGAGTTGCCTCCGCGATTACGTTCGAAAAATATGCTTCTGGTCGGTCTATGGGCATATAATACGGAGCCGAACATGAATATTTTTTTGAAACCGTTTGTTGAGCAAGCGAATCGTTTATCTACCGACGGACTCACGTGGCAATTGGACGAACATACGCAGATAACAAGTAGAGCGTTTCCTACGATTTGTTGTACAGATTCAGTTGCGCAATGTGCTGTTTTGAATATGAAGCAGTTCAATGGCTATTATGGATGCACATTTTGCGAACATCCAACGGAAGCAGTGGATGGGAGAAGAAAATATGTAATTTCTGAAAGTGTCCCAGAACATCGAAGTGATGAGTCAATCAGAATAGCCATGGTTGAAGCCCACAATCGAAACAATGGAAAAGATGTGAAAGGCGTACGGGGACCATCTGTTCTGATGAATTTGTTCTATTTTAATTTAATAGATGGTATGATACCCGATTACATGCATTCGGTTCTGCTTGGAAGTTTTAGACAACATACCGAATTATTACTATCAAGTCCAAATGAAGATTTCTATATCGGAAGACCAGATATATTATCATTAATTGATGAGCGGTTGATTAACATACAAACACCTAAATGGATTACAAGAGCACCGAGGAGTCTAACCGTACGACGACTTTGGAAAGGATCAGAATGGCGCTCATGGACTGTTTTATTCATTGCCATGCCTAAAAGGAATACTACCACGCAAATACTTAAAACATTTTGCATTATTAGTAATCGCCATAAATATATTTTTGCAAAGTACGATCACTCCTGACATGGTGGATTATGCCGAAATACTTCTTGTTCGGTATGTGGTAGAATTTCAACGCATCTACGGAAAACAGAATATGACGTACAATATTCATCTCCTGTTACACTTAACTCAGAGTGTCCGGAACTGGGGACCTTTGTGGGCTCACAATGCATTTCCGTTTAAAAGTGAAAATAGAATGTTACTGTTACTAAAACAAAGTCCGACCGCTATACCGCTCCAAATTGCACGATGATTTCTATTTTATCAGAGTATTCCAATGTTCTTTGATAAATCTTTTATACGTCCATCTGTTCGACAATTTTGTTCTACTTTGACTAAAAATCTCTTGAAATTCTACACAAAAGCAGATGACTGTTTATTAATAGGAGTAGGTATAAATTACACACTGAATGATGAAGAAAGTGCGTCTTTTCGATATAATATTACCTCTTGTTTGCAATATAAAAAAATTATTTCAAATAACATTAGATTCACCTCACAAACATACCGTAACTGTAAAAGAACAAACAACACGATTGTTGAAATGGACAATGGTGAAGTAGGCATTTTAACAAACATTTGTAAGGTTACTATTGATAACATCATGCAAGTCATTATTTTTGTTCGCAAAATCAACATTGATAGATCTCTATTTATGTCGTCAAAAACTGTAAAAATAACGCATATTAAAAAATGTGTAGTAAGTGATGAAAATGAATTAATAGTATGTAGGCCTAAAAATTTATTTTGACCATGTTTTTTAATAAAGGTTTACGACAATTGTTATGTATGTAAAATTCCTCAAGGATGCTTTAACGACTAATAAAAAAATTAAACCTATGTACAATGACCCATTTCTATCGTTTTCAATCCTTATTTCTTTTCTTTTCTTTGTTAACTGATCGAACCAGAAACGATGTCTTTTATTATACTTGCAGCACATTTTGAATATTAATTACTTCGTTCTTTTTGAAATAATAATTAAACCATATTAATTTATTAATATTATTACATTAATTATATATATTATACAAATCATTATATGTTTTATTATTTATTTGCACATTGCTTATTCTTATTTATTATGCCTTCATAATGTGACCAACTACTGTATTGAATACTATAGAATAAAATATAATAAGCCGCGAATTATTCTCTGAGAGCGATTCAAAAATTGCTTGGTATAATGTAATATTTAGTATTTATTTATTGTGCGTAAATAAATTGGGAATTGCTGATGGTGTACTTTTTTACAAACTTAGAAAAATTAAAAGATAGGGTATTGTACTTTTTGTGCCGTAGTTCAGCATAGAAACGCTTAGTTCAGGAAGTAACGATCCTTTATACACTGCAATTAAGTGTATTTTTTATACTTAACTATAATTATTTAAAGTATGCCATCTTTTACACAAAACCGCGTAATTTAGCGTCAGAAGGCGTAGTATGGCATATTTTCTCCCAAAAATGATTACGAAAAAATAAAATCAGTTGGCATAGTTTGGCATAGAAACACGTAATTCAGAAAATAATTATCCTTTGTTACGCGTACTGTGTCGTACTTTCTGTGCCCAACTCTGTCTAAGGCGCCATTTGACATCTTTCACGCAAAATCGCATAATTTGGCGTTGTCATTTTCTGTGCAAACTATTCGACTGTAGAGTGTGATTCCGCGTCGAAAGGCGTAGTATGGCATATTTACTCAAAATATTTATTAAAAAAATGAAATTAGTTAGACGTAGTTCGGCATAGAAACGCGTACCTCAGAAAGTAGTAATCCTTAGTTAGGCATACTTTGTCGTACTTTCTATGCCTAACTCGACCCAAATGCGTCATATTAAATCTTTCACGTATAATCCAGTAGTTTGGCGTTGTTATTACTACGTCTAACAACGCGATTTTATGCCACCATAATAGAAGTAGAAATGCGTACTTTTTCGCGTACTTTAGCATAGAAATTTTTCCGCCAGGGTACTATTGACTTATATCTATTATGTGGGTGATACGGAAATAAAACGTATTTATTTAAAAATCATACATTTATTTTAAAAATCTTACAATTATTCCTGGTGTTGCGACCACCAGTTGAATATTTTAAATACATTTTGCAAAGCACAATTCTTAGCGTGTCTTCCACACCGTATTGTATTACATGCATCTAAGCTACGTAGGGGTTCTACATCTTCATAATGTGCATCTAGAGTTTCATTATCGCATTATCGCAATCGAGTATATCGGATAGCCATTGTCGTTTTTCAAGCCCCTTTACATATACGAGAGCTTCATCGTCTTCTATTACAGCCTCTGTGATTAGACGTTTCGCCATGCTGTACGGGACCATCCCGTCTTCCCATCGCAATCCATGGTGATAAGCACTCAACCAGGAAGCGCAAGATTTGTCGGATCTTGTCAGTAAATTCCATGG